GTTAGTGTAATTTTTATGTTGTGGATTCTTCCAGTTAAGAAGGGATGCTAGTAGCATCCTTATAAAGAAAAAGATACTATTCAGGATGGAAAAGACAAACTCTGAGAAACTACTTTCCAAGTTTTTTTTTTTTAAAAAAAATATCCATCAACCATTCTTTTGTCATGATCTAATTTGAGGATTTCTATATTAAAGGATCCTCCTCCTCCTTTTTAATATATTAGTAAAAACTAATGCAAACTATACCAGAAGAAAAAATAATAATAAAATAACAGTTCAGGAGGTGCAGAAAAATGTACAAAAGAAAAGAAAAAGGCAATAGCAACAATAATACAGAATGGCTTCCAACTTTCATCACAATGAGCATAAGTGAATCTAATACATGTAATCATACATACTTTTTGTCTTATAAAATAGTCTTTTCTCTATAACGTTTACCCATGTACAATCCAGAAATCATCTTTTTAATCTTAGGTCAACAGAAAGTCCATTAGGAGTCACCAAAAATGTAAAAAAAAAATAATTTATCCTTGGTCAGATAGTCCAACTTTATATTCCTTCTTTTTATAGTATTGCATCTTTAATTTTTTTCTTTTTCCCATAAAACTCACATTTAAAAAACCATTTTGCCACAAAAGATACATTTAATGATGTCCTAAAATGTGAAACTTTGTACATTTTTTAAAGATGCGAACAGATCACAAACATTTACAGATACACACATGAGAGGAATAACTTGGTCTGATCAGAATTTTTATTCAGAAAAGAGGAATTTTAAATCAATCTGCTTAACGATATTGCTTGGACAAAAATGTTCCCTATCTTTTGCATCTCTTTAGCTGACTCTCTTGTTTTTCATTAGGCCTATGGAAACATCTCCCAATTAGAATCAAGTTCAAATAAATTCCCTGGCTGTTTCTTTGGAGGAAATAAGAGTTCCCAGCTGACTAACAGAGAGAACTGCTGACAACTGTGAATATCTATGGAGCATTTCTAGCCTTCTAAATAAGTCTAGAGTGCTGGAAACAGAGCAATGAGAGTTTACCTACCCTAGCTGTGACCTTGGGCCTTAATAGGAGGGAGTGGGGCACAGGGAAGATTCCCTGTAATGAAAGCCTCATCAGATGCTAAGTGTGAAGCCAGAGATTTTCGTGTCCTAACATCCATGACTTTCATGAACCAGCTGGGTCTATCTATCCAAGCACTGTTCATTGGCTCCAGAATACAAACACAACATGTTCCAGTAAGACCGCCAGAGCATTCCTGACTGAAGGGTATGCCCTTGCCATGCTATTTAAAGGCATGCATGCTACCCTTTATTTGTCCATATATGTTGGTTGAAAGAGACTTGAGCCTTGTACTTAGCTCAGAGAAGACAAGAATGGGCCACCCAGAGGGGAAACATCTATCCTTGACCCTATCTTTATCTTCCTTCCTATTACTGTTTCCAAACTGCTGGAAGTATACAATATTGCATAGCTGAATTAGCATCCTATTCATAGATGAAGCCACCAAAATGTTTGCACTGCCACAGGTTGAATCCTAGGGTCATGTCACTTAAAATACTTTGGATTCTATTGCTGTTCTCCTAACTTATCTTCAACCAATTCCCAACTCCTGCTATGTCTTTTCTCGGTCTCCCAGGTTGGGGTCAAGACAGCTGCTAGCTGATGAAGTAGCTTGAACTTTTCCAGATGGCCTTTTCTCTCTTTCAGCAGCCTTCTTCCAGTTGGTGTATCACCTGCTGCTCAATACTAAAGAAGGGAAGTCAAACCTAACCTGGCTGAGGAGGGACATTTTTCAAAATAAAGATCGGCAGTTCCCTGCCTGAGAAAATAGTTTTGAAAGAGAAGGTTAGATTAGATGATTGCTAGTTTGTTCCCTGGTTTCTCATCAAAAGGTTCCCGGTCAGTCCCACTATCAGTATGACTTATTCTTTTAAAAGCATCCATATTTTTCCTAGCATGTAGCCACTGAATGTTTTGGTTTCCCATAACTATCTTGAAACTTGGTGGTTAGTGAGATAATAAGCCTGTGCTTGGTCTATACCACTTCAATCCAGAGGACGATATTTACAAGGCTGCATGATTCTTCAGATAAAAATGAATACATGAATAATCTTGTAATAGAAAAATGTAACCAGCAGAAAGAAAACCAGGCTGTGCAACCACTTTCTTCCTAACATGCTGGCTTCCTGGCGTTACTGCTTTGTTTTTTTTAAAGTGGAATACTCTGCCACCTGCCTTCCCAATTGAAACATAAAATGGTATAGCTTGGACACAAATGATCTACTCCCCCAATCATGGCTTACACAAATGCAATTCATGGATTTTTATCATTTATTGTTTTAATAATTCTATTTACTTTGTACTTAATATTGGTACTCAAAAAGTATTAAATCCCCAAAGTGTTGACTAGACATTCTTGAATCTGTGGCTCCAAGTTTTTGGAGGGCATTGTCTGGGGGATGATTGCTTATATAGCCCTAGGTATAGCCCAAGCCAGCTTCAATTGAAACATGTGACGTGATGTGATAGCAGAAGAAGCAGCTGTCTGTGTGTAGGTGCATGCAAGCGATCTGGATGCAAATGGTCCGGAATGACAAATGGACACAACAACTTAAATCTTTTACTTGCTGCCCCGTACTGAGACAAATATGAGATTCTGGTGTCACTTACACTTTGGCAGACCCACAGTTGCCAGCTTCAGGCCTCAGAACTGCACATGCCTATTAAACTAGGGCCCAAGAATCTTTTTGACATTGGGAGCAGTTAGACCTATCCTTGAAACAGGCATATAATATCAAGTATGTCACAAATGGGAACTCATCATTCAGGTTGGCAGTTGGAATGGCCGGGCTGCCCTGATCTGAATCTTGCTATGGTATACAGGCTCCTAGACTGGCATTTGCATCTCAAAAGGGAACTCGACCCTTCCTTATTATGATACTGTCTAAAGGCAGCTCAGGACAACTCATTTCTTATGGGTAGATTCAGCATGGTCTATGCGGTGATACACAACTTTGGCAGATCGATGGACTTCAGGAATGAGAATTCCCTACCCATGAAAGAGAACAGGATATGCAACCAATGCTACACTCACCCGTGCCTAATCATCTTTACGTGAAAATATGTACCCTATAGCTCCACCTATGCTCCACTTGTTTCTTAACATACCCACCTCACCCCTCCCAATGTACTAGTTTCTCTGCCGCTATCCTGAAACTTGAACCATGCTATCTGAGGATAATGGGAACTAGATAAGATAAGATGATAAGACGAGATGAGATGAGATGAGATAACCTTTACTGTCACTTTTCTCTGTACACAATGGCACACATTAAAATGAAAATTCTGATGCCCACTCTCAAAGGAATACACACACACACACAATCCACATACATGCATACACATCCATATACTGTAGCTATACATATATACATACTGATATACATACTGTAGATATACCAGATGGATCTGTAGCTGGCTAACAAACCATACTCAGTGAGTAGTCTTCAATGGTACTACAGCCACATGGAGAGACGTAAGCAGTGGGGTACCACAAAGCCCAGTACTCTTTAATATCTTCATAAATGACTTAGATGAGGGAATAGAAGGGGAACTCGTCAAATTTGCAGTTGACACTAAACTGAAAAGAATAGCCAACACCCCAGAAGACAAGCTTAGGAACCAAAAAGATCTTGAGAAACTTAAACAATGGACCCTATCCAACAAAATGAGTTTTAATGTGGAGAAAAGCAGTTTTACATCTAGGCAGGAAAAGTCAAAGGTATAAGTACAGTTTAGGCAAGACCCGGCTCAAAAACAGTAACTGTGAGAGGGACCTTGAAGTCCTAGTGGACAATCACTTGAATATGAGCCAGCAGAGTGCAGCAGCAGCCAAAAAAGCTAATACAATCCTGGGTTGTATACATAGAGGCATAGAATCAAGATCACACAAAGTATTAGTACTGCTTTATAAATCCTTAGTAAGACCACACCTGGAATACTGCAAGCAATTTTGGTCACCATACTACAAAAAAGATGTTGAGACTTTGGAAAAAGTTCAGAGAAGAACAACTAAAATGATCAAAGGCCTGGAAATTAAAACATACGAAGAACGACTGCAGGACTTGGGTTTAGCTAGTCTAAAGAAGAGAAGAAATAAGGGTGACATGATAGCAGCATTTCAGTATTTGAGAGGCTGCCACAAAGAAGAGGGAGTCAAATTATTCTCCAAAGCACCAGAGGGCAGGACAAGAAACAATGGTTGGAAACTTATCAAAGAGAGAAGCAACCTAGAATTAAGGAGAAAGTTCCTAACAGTGAGATCAATTAACCAGTGGAACAGCTTGCCTCCAGAAATCGTGGGTACTCCAACACTGGAGATTTTTAAGAAGAGACTGGACAGTCACTTGTCTGAGATGGTATAGGTTCTCCTGCTTGAGCAGGGGGCTGGACTAGAAGACCACCAAGGTCCTTTCCAGCTTCTATTCTATTCTATTCTATTCTATTCTATTCTATTCTATTCTATTCTATTCTATTCTATTCTATTCTATTCTATTCTATCCTATCCTATCCTATCCTATCCTATCCTATCCTATTCTATTCTGTATACAATATATATATATGAACTGTAGTCCGATCCATGTAGAGGGCATGGAAATTGTGAAAGGTACAATTGTATCCTCACTATCTTCCAATGTAAACAAATAAGTTACCATTGCCAACTGTTCAAACTATTCTGAAAAGCAATGTACTAGAACGATTAGTCATGAACAGCAGCATTGGGAAACAAGGCAGTAAATATCAACTGTTGCTTTTAATGCCAACAATCTAGTCGTTTCTATTCAAAACATAAAGGGATAGCCAGTTCAAATGTTGCCTGGTATGCTTAAGAGACAAATGAGGTAAGTGAGCCATCTGGTGGTAAAAGAGCTGCATAGCAACATAATGTAGGAAGACACATATTCGGACGAGAAACATGTGCTTACACCGGAATAGTTTGAAAAGCATCTTTAAGTAGAGAGTCAATACTGTTCATTTCTTTCACAGTTAATATAATGCAAATACACTATTGTTACAAATATAAAGAAATTTCTGAATCTCATTATTTTTAGCGTTCAATTTTTGGACTTTAAGACAAAGTTCACAGCAGTTCAATACCATAGGACGTTTCCATAGATTACAAGATGTGTGCAAGGCCATTTCTCACTCATGTAAGCACTTCAGCTAGAATGTACAAGTTATATTGTCACAGTAGTTCAGCTTATTAACTCTAAAGCTGAGATTTGACCCAAAGAATTTACTTGTTGCAAAGTTGACAAACAAAGCAGCAGCTATTTAGAAGATTTAAATACTACAGTAGTTTTTTTTAAAACAACAACAAGGAAAGGGGATTTGGGGGTATAAGGTCACTTCTTGGCCTTTATCCTACTAACCTCACATTACAACAGAGTTCCCCAATCTTTCGGGGGTGGCAGGGGGAGGAGGGAAAGAAGGGATGGTTTTGTGTGTGGGGGGGGGGTGAATGCATACATACATACACACATGCTTACACATGAACACCTGTTACTCGAACGAGTGGGGCCGTAAATGCCTGCGACACTCATGGTGACGTTTGTGCGAACGGGACTGTGCATGCACCCACACCCACACCCACACTCACTGGCCAGCCACTCACGTGGTAGGCCGTGGCCCGGTTGGGATATACAAAGTCAAAATCCAGACACGTATGGGTTGTGTTAAGAGTCAGTTAAAACATCATGTTACCCATTCATCTTATCCTCCATCTCACATAAAATTTTGTATGGCAAAGAGCAAACCCACGAATTATTCAGGAGCCACCCTTGAAGACATCTACCGTAGTTACATTTTTAAACACTGCAAGTTGTCTTATCAGTCACACCCAGATGCATTAAAAGCTTAATGTTTCATGTTATCCTGAGCCTTCAGATCAGTTTATGCATTTATTTTCTATGCTGATACCAAAAGTAATTTGATGTGATTACAGGTACATGGATGTGGGAAGATAAGCATAGTCTCTGGTAGAAGGCACTGAAAAATTGCATTATGCCTCATGTTAATCTCACAGGCACATCCCTTTATTGCACATTCTGATTTCACTGGAAATCAATGTCTGCAGTTGCAATTCTTCTCCTTATTTTAGTGTATAGTTTTTGAAGGGGGAGGGAATATTTTAATAAGAAAGTATCAATTGATAATAAGTTTCTGTATACCATCTTTTTCACTTATCTTCAGAAGGGCCTCAGATTATTTTTCATATGCAAATTTGCTTGCTCTTTTTGGAGAAAAACAAAGACAAATCATATATTGTTTGTGCATTCAAATTTAGTTTTCTGTGTACCTATCAGCTTACTACTTTCACAATTCTAGCAATATTTTGCCATTCCATATTTCTACCTGAAAGTTGGTAACAACCACTTCATGCCAAAAGATAACTCTTAACCATTTTTCTTTTCTCTCCAATATTGTTTTAGTTGAATATGCTTCCAATATTTCAGAATGCCTTTTAGAGCAGTGCTGAATATTTCATATGGTGGAATCTCCACTAATATGTTATAGTGTCTTCCAGAGTTTTCTAACCATTACTGGACTGATACAGCAATAGTAATAGCTTTTAGGCTTATATACTGCCCCATAGTGCTTTATAGTACTCTCTGGCAGTTTACAAGGTAGAAGCAATAATCTGGGTCCTCATTTTACCAATCTCGGAAGGATGGAAGACTGAGTCAACCTTGAGCTCCATCAGGATCAAACTCCAGGCTATGTGCAGAGTGCCTGCGAAACTGCACTTTAAACATTACGCCACCAGTAATTCTCTCCAGTAATGAGAATAGCCATTGTATCACCTCAATGAAGGTTACTTAAAGCAAATATTTATTTGTTAGATTTGTGTACTATCTTTTCTCTAGAAACTAAATACGACTTACATAGCACTATTTTTTCTCCCACTAGCGTAAATCCTGTGAGGTGAGTTGGATATAAGAGAGTAATTGGCTAAAAATCAAGTACTGACTTTCCATGGTTGAGGGCAGACTCAAAACCAGTTTCTCCCTGTTCTTAGTCAAAAACTTTATCACCATAGCCATTTTGTTCAGTTTATTAAGATTTATATATTACTGAAGAGAACAACTAGGCTTATTAATCTGGGAGTTGTATCATAGATCATTGGAAGATTTTGAGCTGATTCCTTTAGCTATTTCTTCACTATCATAAAACCAAAAGGACTTTATATCAGTGAAAGAAGAAGAATGGGGCTTCAATTAGCCCAAGGGGTCTGCAACCTTGACAACTTTAAGACTTGTAGATTTCAGCTACCAGCCAGCTATGGAATTCTAGGAGCTAAAGTCCACAAGTCTTAAAGTTGTCAAGGTTGCAGACCCCTGAATTAGCCTATGGCTCATAGCTTCCTTCTTGTGGTTTCTTGCTAATTGATTGAGATGGGTGTTTTGGAATGAGTTAGGAAGAGACAATTCCCCTTCTAAGCCCTTATTGCACCAAGCACAGTTACATTTAGGTGTCCTGCAGAAATCCTTGCTCTGAGACCATGCATTAATCAAACGCAGGTAGTCCACATTAGTGACTGTCTCGTTTAGCAACAATTCAAAGTTATGACAGTGATGTAAAAGTAACTTTACAACATCTACAACCTTTCCAGGTTTGTAAGGCAAAGGAAAGCTGAAGTAAGATTGTAAGCACTGTTGTGGGTTCACTTAGCAACTGCTTCACTTAATGACAGAGTTGTGGGTCCCAAATGTGATCACTGAATGAGGACTATTTGTAACACAGAAATTATTCTAGATTACTACAAGAACCCTTCTTTCCAATATTTGTCAGCCTTAGATCAAGAAATGCCATCACAACTATAAGTAGCTTATGTACCTACATTCCTTCATAGTTTTTCAATAAATATGGCACAAATTCATGCTGAATTTCTGAAATTGAAACTCACAATATTCCAGAGGCCTCCTGGCCTCATTATCAGCCTCTTTGTCCATTGAATGTCATGAAAGAAAAGGCAAGAGACAGGCAATGAAAATATAGCTGACTTCTAAACCAAGCATCACTTAACAGTTGCATTTACTAAGCCGGAAATGGTCAAAAGGGTAAAACCCATCCAGGTGGCTGTGGGGGTAACACCACCAGGTGATTGGAAGGCACGTAGCCCCTCTGTCCATTCACTTCCACCAAAGACCATTCTTTGTTTCCCTTTTTATCATGGGGTTCCAGCACAGTCACTGATTGGCCAGCTTCCAGACTGACTTCCTGATTGCTCCTGGCTATGAAGGGATAAGCAGCACGTACCTAAGAAAAACAGAAATGCAGTTATAATACAGGATATGATTTTGATCATTATACTACAGGATATAATGCAAAAATAATAATAAGTAAGCCTAGCCAGATCAGTTCTATCCGGATAGGCAAAGCAGCTTTCGGGGATGCCTTTCTGCAAACATCTCAAAGAAGCAGAAATTTATTCTGAAATGTATGGCAAGTAGAGACAGAATAAGTATCTAAATTTGTGGAGTTATGCAGGACACAAATGTATTACTAGTCCAAAGAAATAAGAACCTTTGATTGTCAATTGCCAGCCTGCAGGAAGTGGTAAGTTTAAAGCTGGTGAGGCAAGAATCTCTCATCTTTACACCAGAGAAAGCTATATTGTAAATAAGAGAGAAGAGGCAGAATCTTTCAGAGCCAAGAGACAAATGGTGAAATAAAAAGGGGAGAGAAAGAGCCAGGATTTAAACCTTGAGACTAACATATATGAAGAGCCTGGCTCCTCCTGGGTGTTGTTAGATGAATTTTCTTGCCTGTATGGCTTTCTAATGCTCTGCAGTATGTCGGCTTATGTAACCTTGTGCGATGAATGCTGAGCAGTGAGGGGCATGAATGAAAAGAAAATAAATGGAAGTAGTGGCAGGCATAAAGAACTGTGAATTTTTCAACTCAGTTCTTGATGCTGGGCAAACTCACAGCAAACCTAATGTAAACGTCAAGAGTATTTGAGCCTTGAAATGCTCTTTGCAGTGGTCTCCTAGCACCATCCTAGAGGTAGAGGGAGGGCAACATAAACCCATCTCCCCACTAAAAGAAATCTTTCCAGACCCAGGCAATACAAAGAAAGATTTTCAGGGAAGAAGATCTAGCTTGGCTCTGACCACATTCCCCCACATTCCTGAGGACTTTCTGAGATTGGGCATTATCCACATTGGAAAGCACCAGTCTGGGAGGTTGGTGAGGAAAAGGGGGAGGGTATCTGGGACTGGATTATTCCCTCTGAGAGTTTCCTAGGACTGCACCCAAAATGCATGTTGTTAATGAAGGACTGTTTCTATGTTGCACAGCATTGAATAAGAAGAAAGAGGAAATTGACATTTGCCCAGGGTAGCGGAAATAGAGCAGATTCAGGAGATAATCCTGCTTTGGTTATACTTAGTCTGTTTCAGGAAACTATGGAATTTGATTTCAGATAAGGAATTGAGAAGCCAGTGAGCTGTTATTTTGATTTTTTTTTTTTTTAGCTTCACAATGCATCTCTGGTAATTGCACTTTTCCTCCTTGTTTTCATGATGTTGTCTTCATCTCCTTCTCAGCTGGGCTGCAGGGAAGAGCAGAGATCTATCTTCTGCAGAGTCCTTTGTTTGTGCTACTCCCGACTGGCACTTTCCAGGCCATACACAGACTCCTTATGGATATTGCTTTATTGTCCTTCAAAAGAATATTTCACCTGCTGTTCTTGAGAAATCCCTTGCTCTGTGCTGAGCAGATTGATTTAAATGGGGAAGGAAAGCTACAATATTTTAAATGGGGAAAGAATACTATAATATTCAGTGTTCTGGGTTCTGTCCCCTTTGGGTCCATTACAAGGTTTTCTGTTGGTTTTACCAGTAAAGAGTTTCATGTTGCTGCACCATTTACTATTATCACTTTGGGAAGTGGGTATAAAGCAATTTTGTTCACTCCATATCAGCATTAGGTGATAATATGTACAGACCAATCTCACTTGCATGCTCATGGCTGCAAACTAACTCCTTCTCGGCGCTGCCAACTACAGCATTAGAACTGGGTTTCTTGCTCATGTGTAGCCCTTATTCTTCTGCTCATTCTCCTTCTTTACCCTGTGTTCCTCTTCTGGGCCTCTTACCTGTTAGATGGACTATTTGTAACTATGGACTTAGTACTTTCTCAGAAGATCCCTGGACTGAAATTTAGAAGCAGCTCATCTGAAAGCTCCAGAGGAAGGACATTTATAAAGTGGGGGTGAGCTTCTCCCAATTCAATAGGTTTATTTTACCTTTTTTTTTTTAGGAAAAGAAGCTTATTCCATTCAGGTTTAGTGGCACTGGGTGATGACTTATCACTGTTACAAAATTGTATAATAGTCTCCTTCACTGCTCAGTGTTCTCAGGGTCCTGAAGATGCAGTTCTTACAGCAGTTTCTGTAATGCACGATCATTATTTATGATGCCTGGGGGAGTGCCAATTTGCTTACAATGCTCTAGCTTTAATAGCACTAGCTGCCAGGATGAATACCATTGTTCTATGCTCATATGCATGGGCCAATTACAGTAGCATGATTCCAGAAGTCCACCCTGATCAATGTGTTCTCCATGGATGTTGCTGGGGTGCTGGTTGCCGAGCTGCTCTTTAAGTTCTTGGATTTCATCTTGGTATCTTGTGGCTGGTGCTGGAATTCCTGAGGTTTTTACTCTTGGATGGCTTTGACCTACATACCTTGGGGGAGAGGTCAGATGTAGCTCTTTGTGCTCATGGCCTTAATGGCAAACATCAACTTGTCACATGTAAATTGCAGCCCTAACTTTTGCAAGAGGACACAAGCTAGATCTGGTCTTTATTTTGAAGCACATGAGATGTGATCTGAAGATGGAAAGCATTAATGGCTGTCCTTTGGGACACTCTGGAGCCCCACAAGGATGGAGGACTGGTTAGAGCCATCCACCCATCCAGAGGGCATTTAGGGAAGTACCCCACAATCTGGCAGCAGTTACATTTCAGAGTAGTCAGTCCTTAGAATGTGGCCAGAGATGATGAGATTACTCCCATGAGGCTTTCCCCCAATTATTGATTCAAGCGATTCCTTAATTTAATAGAGAACTGATATAAGTGGAGGGATGGAAAAGGGATCTAAAGCAGGGGTGTCAAACTGCTGCCCCACGGGCCAGTTTCATCATACCAAAGCCGCGCCCACCCCATTGCCAGCAATGCAAAAAGAGTCGCGATATGTCGCGACATGTCATGTGACGTGGAGAGTTTGACACCCGTGATCTAAAACAATAAAGGTATATAACACCAAACATTAATGAAAGTTCACGTTTCAGTCTACACAATGGTGCTAAGAATTGCAATGTAGCAGTTCTTCTTTTCACTTATTTCATCTGCAGATTTGTGCTGGGTTATATACAATATTTTAGGGAAAGATAGACAGGATGAAGTGACTGCAGGCAGGCTGGATGAATTTGCAGATTTCTGACAAATAATTTCACTTGATAGGATTTTCTGTCATTTGAATTTTACCATTTGCGATTTGGATTCAGGCCCCTCTTTGCTCTTTCAAATAGCTAGGCAGGGTATGGCTGGCTGGATCTTGCTAGATTCAGGAAGTATTCAAATGGTTCTCCAAATAAGGAAGTAATGCCATTTTACTTTGAAAGAAGCAGTAGCCAGTTCTGGATCTAGTTATGTTTAATTAATTTTGCCTGGGGTTCAATCTCCCTGTTTTAAAGAATGTAGCTGAAAAGATGGTAGGGAATCAGAGGAACATCATACAAAAGATCTTGCTGGAAAGAGGTTTTCTAGATCTTTTCCAGTTGGGATTCTAGTTATGAGACAGAAATAGTATTAGTCGTGGTGGTGAATAATTTTCATTCGGAGTTCATGAGGACTAAACTTTTCAGGGTCCTATTACAGCTTTGACTCTTGGCTCCTACACAAGCAGCTAGTGAATGCCCAACTCTAGCTGGAGTGTCTGTTCTGATCTTATGTATTGTTAGACATAATCATATAAACTAATCCATCGTGTGACTGCTACTTCTTATCAATCTTTGTTTTTGTTTTCATTGCTCATTACAGGTTTGTTTTTTTTCATTTAACCAATACCTTACTAGTTTCCAAATCTGACCCACATTCAGGTTTCCCTTTATAAATGTCCCAAGAGTGAGTCAGCATATCTGGCCTATTCCATATAATAATAATAATAATAATAGTAAAGTTGGAAGGGATCTTGGAGGTCAGGCAGGAAACCCTATACCATTTCGGACAAATGGCTGTCCAGTCTCTTCTTAAAAATCCATTTGAGATCATAACAAACTACTTGAAAAAAAAAATCACTTGAGAGGCATACCCAAGTTTGCATCCTGAAATGGCCCTGTTAAAATATAAATCAGCATAACAGGACAGGAGATCCCATTATCTGCCAGTCTCTCGCCATAAATTCACTGCCTGTTCACAACTCATACTATTGTCCTTAAAAATCAGAGCAAGAAGAAAGAGAAGGAGAGGTGCTGCTGAAGAGATTGAACTTTACTCACCTGCAAAACTGGAGTGCTGAAGTACACCGGGGGGTTGGGAGTTTGGGGGAAATTGTAAGTAGGATGCATTTTCTCAGCAGCATCACCCTGGGGCAACGTTGTTGTTCTGGGCTTTGGGCTGGGGACATAATGGTACCGTTGGAGCTTTCCAGGTGACACGTAGCCTCTTGGACCTGCAGGGTATACAAGACAGGTAACATTAAGCTGAAGGCTAGACTGCTGACAAGAAGTGGAGCGTTCCCTTGTTGTTTATCAACTAGCAGATGGCTATACAGTAATGCCAATGAAAGCAGTATGAACTTGACATAATTGGAAAAGAATGGTGTAGAAGTAACGATTTGATATAAAAAGGAATGGAAAAAAAGACAGCATTTAGTGTAGGGAAGAAGAGAGGATGTGTACTAATGAAAAGATGTGATTTTTACAAGAGTTTTTGGCAGAATGTAGTCTGTGCTATTTTAAATCAAGGCCAGGAGGAGATATTTTTGAATATATTAAAATTTTACAATCATATAAAAATCCTAATGTTACAACCACAATGGCTAAACTTTTAACTATGGCTATAGAAGTAAGGTTTTTATTCATTTTAATTAATTTTTATTAATTCATTAATGACTGCATTTTGAAATGCTTAACATAATATCTATCAACTTATTTATCTCAAACTGTTTTATTGAGATAAATACTTTTTATTGTACCGTATCTGCATTTTCTTATATGTGTCTTTCAGCTTAATAATAGCACTTAGCAATAGCACTTAGACTTATATACAGCTTCACAGTGCTTTACAGCCCTCTCTAAGCAGTTTACAGAGTCAACCTATTGCCTCCAACAATCTGGGTCGTCATTTTACCAACCTCGGAAGGATGGAAAGCTGAGTCATCCTTGAGCCAGTCAGGATCAAACTGCTGGCAGTTGGCAGAATTAGCCTGCAATACTACATTCTAACCACTGCGCCACCACGGCTGTTAGACTATAATATGATTATGTCATGTCATGTTATAGAAAGGAAAGAAGACGAGTGGGCTAGATGACAAAAATTAGCACAAATATAATGAATGGAGACAAGAAGGGGAGATACAGAGCTATAGAATTAGAGTAAGGCCTGGAATTTGGAAAAAATACATTGTATATAGAGAATGAGACATTTAATATCGGGAAAGAAAGGCAAGAAAAAAGAGAGGAAAGGAACTGGTTGGAGGACAAAGGCAGAGAATGATAGAAAAGTCAGTATTAAAAAAGGGGAGAGTGAAAGAAAGGAACAATTGAGGTTCTACTCCTGGTTTAGGCAAGGTTCAACCAAGGGACAGGCAACCTGTAGTTCAATGACTGATTTTCTGGTTGTTGAAAAGAATACTCTTCCTTCACCTCTCTCTGTAGTTACTCCCCGCTCCCTGCAGTCTGGACAATGACCGTCTCATTTTCTGGCTATCAGGACTATAGTACAGTTGTTGTAAAAAGGCATCTTTCCTGTCTTTTGCAATTATCTAATGCATGCAGAATCTGGCAGGGGAACTTACAACACCTGGGCTACTTCAGCTATCCTACCACTGCTCTAGTTTTCTTCCTGATATTTGATTTTCACTGTTCAGAGAGTAAGCAACTCTCCCTTTAATTAAAACCATTTAGGTGTCTTTTTTTTCCTATCACCTCCTAGTTACTCAGATAAATCAGGGGAAACTGTCTCAAGGGGGGAAGTCCAATTCTCATTAATAAAATGCAATTGACTAGGAATTATATTCTTAGTGGGAACTAATAAAATATAACTGCCTAAAATAATGTAATCAAATTAAAGGTCCATTTAATCCAATACCCTGCTTTCCAGTGTAGTCAACTCTTGATCTCTGAGAAGCTCAGTGACTAGTATTTCAATTCACCCAACTATAGAAAGGCATATAAAGGCACCTGTTCAGTAGAAAACACTCAGTTAAGCTAGAAGAATGACAAAACACTGGATGTGTCTTAATCTATTTTTTTAAAAAAAAAATTAATGGATTTACAACGCAAATAAAAACTATACTGAAAAGTTAAAAAATCTGCCAAAGGAAGAACTACAAGTTCCTTTTTTTTCTTCCACATTAGCTAAACAGACTATCCGGTCACCTGTTACATGAGCAATAGCACTCTATAATAATCTTCTCCAAATTGCTGAACTCCAGATCGGATAGGATTATAATTCCCCTGATAACCAGCCATAGATTTAGGAATTGTAATCCAACACATCTGGAGCCCACCAGATTAGGTTTAATGAAATATTCTGTGGTTATGATTTTAGCTTCTTATCTGATGCAGTAGGGATGTAAAAGATATCAGACACAGATTTATTTTATATCAAAAGGCTGCACTTCATCCAAGACTGTTCTGCAGCCAGATCACTTTACCCATCCCTTTTTTACCTGCTAAAAAAGGTCTAAATGCGTTTTATAGATGGCACCTTGACCCAAAGAAAATGTCCATTATGTACCCTAATCTACAGCCGAAATGCTGGAGATGTGGATATTTGGATGCTACCTATTACCATATTTGGTGGACGTGTAAGCATATAAAAGCTTTTTGGATTAAGATATGGTGGAATATTCAAAGAATTTTTAAAAGGAGGGTAAAATTTACTCCGCAATTATTTTTACTAGGTATTGTTATTGACTGTGATGCTAAGGAGGTTATATTGATGTTAAATTTGATTACAGCCGCTAGGTTGTTAATAGGACAATATTGGAAGAAGGAATCTTTGCCTACTTTACAAGAATGGTTTCATAAAGTTTCGTATTTGGCAGAAATGGCAAAGATTTCGGCTTTCTTAAAGGAGCAATCTCAAGAAAAAATTTTTGCGGTATGGGAAAAATGGATAAATTTTATACAACATAATTTGGATATGAAAAAATATTATTTAGCCTTTTTATAATTTGTAATGATTGTTTTTTCTTTCTTTCTTTCTTCTTTTTCTTTTTTTATATATATACATTTTTTATGTATTATTATTCATATATTTTTTTTTATATATATATATGCTTTATTCTTCGTCTACTTTCTTCTTTTCTTCTTTCTCTCTCTCTCTTCTCTTTTTATTTTTTTTTTTCTTTTTTAGTATATATTATTCATTTTAAAGTTTATGTTATGTATATTATTATTATATATATTATTACTGTGATTTTTATTATTATTATTAATTATTTTATAAATTGCAAATGTTATTTTTAAAATATTTGTTAAATAATCCTATATTCAGTTCTGGGAAGTCGGGGGGGGGGTGGGGTGGTTGGGGAGGGGGGGGGTGGATTTTTATTTGTAAAACTTTTGAAAAATTTCAATAAAAAAAAGGTCTAAATGCCAGTGCATGTTTTTTAAAATAGTCCTTTTGGATCATTTGAATTTATAAGTGCATCTTTCCTCAATACCACCTTCCGTCATGTAAGGATTTGTTACAATTAAAGCATACATAATTCAAAAAATATAAACCAGGTAGGTAGACCAGGTTGTATAGGAAACAGCAAATATTACAATATAGCCATACAATCAGCCATCAATGCATAAGCAAAATACAAAAAAATATTTTGACTATAAACACACAACTTCCTTCAGTTGAGTTTGACTTTTATTGATTTTAGGACATACCCACTTATATTCATGTGAAAAAGAAAATACATCCTGACTAGCACTGATGATATTACCTAGTTTGGGTAATGAAATGTCTGCAGGAAAACAAGCAAACTCAGAGAGCACTAAGAACCCCTTGAAAATATGTAAAAATCATAAAACACAAAGGGGATGTATCAGGACATAGTAAAAACCACCTGATCTGTAGCAGTTTTTAAAAGTAGGTAAATACAGATGAACAACAACACATGGCATATATTATGTTATCATTTATTTACAAGCCCTGAGGATTCCTGATAATCTCCCATCCAGATCTGATCCTACTTAGGTTTTTGAGGTAGATATCTTATACAACCATGGATTTTTTAAAGGCAAGTACAATGGGGAAAAAATCATTACTTTTCAAATTTCACAAAACAGAATAATGTGTGACACACAGACTGGGTTTAGATCAGGGGTCCCCAACCACATCCCCATTTTTGCTAGGATCCATAGACCCGTTTGCACATGCACATGGGGCTAGAGGCAGCTGCTAGCATCTGCACAAATGGGGCCACTAGTGCACATGGGAGTTACGTGGACCATTTGCACATGCACATGGGTGCTAGTTGCGGTAGTGGCAAGCTCCTGCACGCATGTGCAAACGGGGCCGCTAGCACCATGTGTGTGCGTGCAGTCCCATTCACACGCAGCTCCGTTCACACGTGTGCATGCATGCATGCACACAAATTTCCCAGCTGCTCCCTTTCCCTCTGGGCTACCAGCATGAAAAGGTTGGTGACCTCTGGTTTAGACTGATCAGACCATCCCAATTTACCACTCTTGGTAACAAAGAAAAGAGGTCCTCGGTGCTCTTTTGAGCTCGGTTGTTTTCTTGCAGAGCATTCATTACACAAACTAGGTAACATATTCAGCCTTGATGATGATTACCTAGTTTCGGTAATGAAATGTCTGCAAGAAAACAACCAAGCTCAGGCAGCACCAAGGATCCTCATTTCAACCCTGAGCTACAAACATTCTCCTTTACGGCTCCAAAGGAAAGGGTTCTGGGTGGTTGCAATGCTGACAGTACCTCCTGAATCTACCAGCCATCGGTTTGTGTTGCCCTTGGAGTCCATGCCATGCAAAAAAGCCACTATTTGCCCCCTCTGCAGAGTCAGGTCCATATCTTTGCAGCCACTGGTTTCGCTTGTCACCTGGTACAACTTATCTGGGCCATGTTTGTTCAGAAGCAAAAGGACCTTCTTCTCCTCTGCAGAGCTAAGAGGCTATTGAAAAGGCAGAAGGAGAAATGAGTCAGAAACGTATCCCCCTGTGGAAGCAACATGCTACTGTGTTTGATGCACTTATATGCACAAATCATAATGAAACAAGGTGCTGATGCATCTAACCAAAAATATCCTAGAACAAGGTGTGACAAATCCTGAAAGTCAAGCATATTTTGCACGCTAAGTTTCAGAAAACAGAGAGAGTAGGCAATTCTGCAAATGGGGTAGAGTCGGACTGCAAGAAATTGGGCACTGGGAAAAGGAGAAAGAAAATTAGTCTCATCTGCTTCTGATACTACCAGTTCTATTTCTCCTGCAGAGCAAAAGAGCAATACATTTGCTTGAGACAGCTGCTGCTGAATCTTAGTGCTATAGCCTTTCAAACCATCAGACTGATCTAAGGTCAACTACTCTGAAAATTGTCAGTAGGCTAAATATAACATGCCTAAATTAAATTAAAAAAAATGCAAAGCATAATAATTGTCTACTTGTCACCCTTCCATGGCTGGGGATGCAAATATCTAGAATCTGTCCAGATGTTTTATGTGTACAATTCTCAAATTATAAAGTTTAAGCAACATGGCCAGTAATTTCTTTAATGGCAAGTCATTTAATGGTACTCCAAAATCAACCGGCTAAGATTATCTGCTTTATCGTTCCTAATGCTGCTACTGGCGCTGAGATTGTTTCGGGATTATTAGTAACTGAATTTATTGAGTCAGAAATTGATACAAAACCATCCATTGGCCTACAATTTATACTAACGCCACCATCCGCTGCAGAAATAACATCTATATATACAGCATGTATGGGTCAATAACTCAAAAAAAAAAGGGTTTATACACTTTTCTCCTAAAATGCATAAAATGCACAAATAGGTTGCTTAGTAAAGATATCTAAGTGCCTTAATGAAAAATGTGACATCATAAACTGAGTCTCATCTTGAGTACTTCACAAAAGAGTAAAGCAAATGGTCCTAACACAAGCAAGCAAGTCTTTGAATTATTCACTTCCCTAGCACTCAAATTCCAAGTTTATACACAAGACAATCCAAGCATCCAAATATCACAGAATATTACTGGAGAAGAACCAGAATTCACTTGGAATTAGCATTTGAATTCACTTAGAATTAGCATTTGCTTTTTCCGTGCCCATATCAGATATTTGTGAATTAACTAGCCAAGAGTCAGCTGAGGAAATTGTGCATGAGTAAGCACACACCCTCTTGCTTTTCCAGTAGCATCATACCTGCACAACGGGATTTGGCAAAACAGTGTCAAACTTCTCCTGGAGAAAGGACAACTGATCTTCAGCCTGTTTTAAAGTACTCATTACCATTTTCCAAAATTCAGTTGCAGAGAGATGTCTATGGGGCAGCTGTAAGAGTAAGTCTAGAATTAAATGGCTGAAAAATAGTATATGTAAAACAGTTAGTCTCCTAAGATGCCTAAACTTTGTAGTGGCTCTTCTGCCATTTATACTATTCATAACAGACTGCACATCAGCACTGTGTTTTCAAGGAAATGCTACATTTTTTTCTTCAAGGATATGCCTTGAAGGGGAAAACAATCAAATAGAAATCGCCTTGTCCGTTTTTTGTTCTTACCTGGACCATCTCCCCTTCTGCCTCTTGGAGGACTTGTTTGGCCAGATCCCTCTGAAGAGTCACAAAAGAACACAGTATGCAGGCCAGCCACTTCAGGGCCACCTGGTTGAATGTAGGAAGCTCAGATACAAGCAAGGAGTTAATGCCAAGATAGGTATTCATGACAGCCTCCTCCTCATAGGTCACACTGCCCGTCTCAATCCTCTTCTCCTCATACTCTTCATAGTCAAGCAGCTTGTCCAAGCGCTTCTTGATCAGTTTGTGGGGTCCTCTCAGAGTCTCTGACAAGTTGCACAGTGGTTTATATACCAGGTGCTCAAGCCGTTGCTTCTGTAAAGGAAGAGAGGCAGACTTTTCTCAAATTTTGACCACTTTTGCTCTATTCTGAAGTGAGAGATCAGAAGCTTTTGGGCCAAGGATCTCTGGTGTGCCTCCTTGCTCTGTGCCTAATATTTAGAGAAATCTTAGGTACGCTAGAAAAATCTCAAAGAACTCACTTTGAAATTTTGGAGCTTATGACATTATGCTCCATTTCTCAGAAATTGGCTCACTGGGTAAGATGAAGATTTCTCCTTTGAAAAAACCCTGTCCTGTATCTCACAATGATTTATCATCATTGTGTTCTTCAGATACGCTGAGACCGCAACTCCCAAAGTCCCAGTTTGCCTGAAAATGTGAGAGGGCAAGGCTAAAATGAATCAATCTGATCCTGCCCTCTTCCCAAATTTGGCAAATTAGAAATGAAATAATACTTACATAGACAGGAAAGATGGTGCTGTGAAGCTTTTTTGCAAGGGAATAATACGGTTGGGTAATGTACGTTTCTACATCCAATTCATCCTCCTGTGGTTTAAAACTAAGGAACATCTAAAATATAAAGAAATGAATCTGACAACCTAAAAACATGATTTTATGGGGAACATATCCAGTGATATATGGGAAATCAGGCTCTTCTAGTCACTCAGAAAAGCCAGTTAAAAACACTTATGGTTATTCAGAAATGCCATTATTATTTATTGAAAAGCGGTATTTTTCAGGAGTTCTTAAACATGCATGAATTATGGATACAATATATAGTTAGATTGAAGGGAGAATATGTGGAAGAAAGGGTTGAAATTTACATTGAATTTAAATCTTGAAGAAAGTTTATAAAATGATGTATGGTTGGTACGTGGCAGATAAATTGTCAAAAATATATAAAAACAAATTTCAAATATTCTTCGGAAATATAATCAAACTGAGTGCGCATTTTTCCATCCTTGGTGGACCTACAACAAAAATATTAGGATCAAATATGTATTTTGATCCAGATGGTTTTAAAAGTAAATATACAATTGAAATTAGAGACTGTTCTTTTGGGCTGAATGGATAAACAAATGGAAACATATCCTGGAACTTTATTCTTCCATATGATAATGGAAGCAAGACTTTATGTGCTCAAAGGTGGAAGGGCTTACAAATATCTACAATGGAAAAATGGATGATGAAACTGGTGGAGAATTAGTGGAGATAACAAAACTGACAGCCTTGATAAAAAAAGACTTTGACAAAGTTTATTTCTACTTGAAAATTTCTTTTGGACTTTTTGTGAGAAAGAAATGAAAAGCTGATTTGGGGATTTGATGATTAGAATTCTATGGGACTATCAAAATAATGCAGACAAATGTTAGTCTTAGAATAAGAGTTTTTAAAATCTATATTTGTACCAAAGAAAGTCAGAAATCATTCTTTTTAATATTTTTTGTATTTTTTTCTTTTCTCTTGTCCCCTTTTCTTTCTGAACTGTTTACTTTTTAAAATCTTTTTTCTGTTTATTTAACTTTGTATTTTTAAAAAATAAATAAAGTTATATATTTTTAAAAGGCATAAGTTACAGCATACTCTCTACAATAGGCAAAGGAAAAAGAGAATGCAGGAGATTAGGAAGAAGGGGGAAAGAAAGCATTAGTCGGTTCCATAAAAGTTAGAAAGTGGTGAATTGTGATTACAGATTAACACTGGCCACTGTCCTGTTTTTATTATAGAAATAATAAAGGCAGGACATAAATCAAATAAATAAATATAGAGTCCAGTTATGATTCTGATTTCTACTTCAAAATTGCAGCTTACACAAAGAATCAATGAAAATGTTATGCACAAGTATTACAAATTGGGAGGGTTGCAGTTACATTATAGATACTGCTGTGACGTCTCATTCTGGGAGAGTCCTGGTATCTGTATACCGAGGTTGGAGTAAAAAGTTTTGGTTTGGTGTGGCCAAAAATTAAGGCAAATGTTTCATGAACTTTGTTTTACTGAATCATTTCACAAATTCATCAATACATTTACATAGATGTTTCCATTGATCAGAGTCTACTTCTAATTAAATATCCATAAGCATGGTAATCTTCTGTTGAGGAATGTAGCTCTGGAGAAGGCCTTGAGAAGGAAGTGGGAAATGGTTACCCAGCCTTGAAAAAGTAAAAAGTATGAGAATCAGATTGAGATGACCTCTCCCTTGACCTTGGCCTTAAGAAGGGTGAAGTTTCTCTACAGGCTTTCAAGTTTCTGTTAATGAACCCCCAACAAAGAATTTAGCAAGTAGCATCGGTAGAATTCCTTTAGTGTCTCTTTCTTGGCCTAGCTTACTTGAACAGCTGACATCTCCCCATCATCATCAAAAAAAAAATGTCAGATGTCTTTTAAGTTCTATTTAAATTGTATTTTATTTTTTTTAGAAAGCTAAAATCTAAATGTTTAAAATGTGCCTCCTACTTACACATTTTGAAGCTGGGTTGCCTAAGAGGAATTTGCAATATTGTTGCATCAGATCTGAAATCTCATGCAGATTCCTGATGAGGAAATGCTCTCTCTGGGAGACTTTTCTTACCAACTGAGTCTGACATCTTTTTCTGAGGAGATCTGTGGCTGCTGAGCGTATATTTCTTTTACTTTGCTGGGTGGTTTGATTTCAGAGAAGAGCTCATGTATGGTGCTGCCACGTTACTTTTCCTCTTTCCTCTCCTCACATTTTTAATATTCCTCCTGGGTTCCCCACATTTCATGGCCTACAATAGAAGGCTTGGGGGCTGCACAATTATTCCTTCCAATTCAGAAGTAAGGGGATAGTTATACTACACTCCCAATATCCTACCTGCCATGTGGTGCACAAACGTTTTGGAATTTTTCTTCCTTCTGTCTTCTCACTTAGTTCCATTGCTGGAATTATGATTTGTTCCTGGACATTTAATTTAAATGTTCCCCAAATATTAAACTGAAGGGTGCTCAGCATACTTAATTTCAACAGAAAATGCTATTAACAATTTTGAACACATTACCAATGCTATTAACTATTTTGAACACATTGCTTCCAGTTTTGGTATAGGAAAGTCAGATAACAAAATACTCTATTCTTGTGGAAAACGCAAGGACTCTTACAAATTCCAGAGGGTTTAGCAGAGAGATTTATTGCGCAGGTTCAGAAGCAGTAACAGCAAGCAATTCTGAACCCCGAGGGTGGGTTCAGACTTCAGTTTTATACTTTCTCTTTCTCAGGAACAAAGGACTACACATTCTAATACACATTGTGATACATTAGGTCCGTTTCTCACGGGTATACAATGGAGAGATTTGCTACATACATTGTATCCAAGTGCAATGCACATTAGGTTAGTAACATATTGCTAACACAGCATTATTCAGTAATTATGCAGACACAATCATTATTTTAGGGATTGTTCATTAATTGTTCATTATTCCACCTTACTATTCTTCTGATGCTGCTCGGTTGGTTTCCACAGTTTCTGAACGTAAAAAGGAATCAATAGACCAGTGTTTCTCAACCTTGACAATTTTAAGGCATGTGGACTTCAACTCCCAGAATTCCACAGCCAGCAATGTTGGCTGTGGAATTCTGGGAGTTGAAGTCCACATGCCTTAAAATTTGTCAAGGTTGAGAAACACTGTAATAGACAATCCAATGCTCAGGCATACTTGAATATATGTTAATATGTTCCCTTTCTAAGATTTGCTTCCACATTAAAAACTTAATGATGGGGCTAGCTTAATTGTTGCAAAAGAAGTATCACTTCTCTCTTTGTCTATGGAGATTCTAAATCAACCAAGTCATGGTAGTCCCAAAGGTGCTTTTTTCCAAAAGGCACCTGGACTTTCTTGCTTTTTTTCCCCTTTGAAAAGGTTTTGCTCCTCATCCAAGAAGCTTTTCAAAGAAAAAAAAAGAAAGAAAGAAAGTCCAGTTGCCTTTTGGAAAAAAAAGTACCATTGGGTACAAGAATATTACTCCATTCTGATACCTTTAAATTTTGGATGAGTAGCCCATGAACAGATATAAATTGAACATTTGGAAATGGCAAATAAGATTAAAATCTTGGCTAAACATCTGCCAGGCTGTCATTTCAAAAGTGTTGTGCTACAAAAATTTGCCTGTGTCACCATTTTCTGCTGTCATTTCACTATTTGTACTTATACTATTGCGAGCATCAAACAAAAATCAGTTCTAAAGTTAATTCACACATGTGTTACTGCTAAAACCCACTATTTGTGCACATGGCATAGATTATAATCCATTAAGGTCCATGCCAGTCTACTTCATAATCTGAAGAATTATTTGAATGTACTACCTCACAATATTAGAGGCACAGCAATTATGTCCAAGAATTAACTTTCCCTGCATTGATTGAGCCCTTTTATAGCTAAAGGTTCAGATAGTTTTGTGATTACAGTATTTAGAATTCATTCTCATTGTATTTTAGGGAAGTATTTTATGTCTTACCAACCAGCTGGTAATTTCCCTTCCTCAGTTTAAATGCACTATAGGTTGGTTGTTTTTTTTTTTTTTATATCTCCTTAGCCTACAAAGAAATGGCAGGAGATTAGCACAGACTGAGGAAAGTATTTATTCAGCAAAGGTTCCTCATGAACATTGCAGTGGACCACAGATTTTCTCACTTTTAAAAGGAAATCCTCAAATTCAAAGCAGAAATGTGTATCCGTGGTTCTAAAAGTATCTGGAATATGAGAAAGTATCTCCCTGAACTACTGTAGAGAAAGAGCAGGAAAAGGCTAATGTTGTAATGTCTTACTATGACCTCTACTGAGAAAGCTGACTGGACTCTTTGGGAATCAAAATCTGAACTAGACAGGAACTGGTCTTTTTATAATTACACTGTAGAGCAGAGGAGAATGACAAGATGCATCAAGACTGCATGTGTTGCTGAAAATCTGGTTGGTATCAAATTACAATTCTAAACAGGTTTCTAAATAAGAGAAAATCTTATTTTAATAGACTATGTGGGAAGAGGGTGTCTCTGTTATTCACAAACATCCAGTAAATTGGAGGGTACATCATCAGACTGATTAATGTAATTTGTGAGATCACACAAACAGAATAAAATACCATATTTTTGTCAATGTATTATACAATACCTCCATTATGTAAATTGACTAAATTATAGGAGAATTTTGTCCCTTAAAGGCAAAGTCCCTTGTATCTGCTAACCTGAAATTTCACAATAGTGCCAGGCCAGTCATTTATGGAAGTCATTATTTCATGTGAAAGAAGGATGAATTAGGAGTCACATTAACATGGTTTATGCTATAGGTAGCCAATATCTGTTTTTCTTTAAAAAAAAATACTCACACCTAGACTTAAAGTAGTGTAAGGACTCTCTTTCTATGGTATCTTCTTCTTCCAATGATCACCTGACCATAGCATTGTAAAAATACTGAAACACGGAAAGAAAGGCTGATAAAAAAATTTTAAAAAAAGAAAAAAAGAAGGGGAAAAACTGTCACCACCAAAGTCAAGCAACATCTCCTTTTATCCCAGTTCTGCTTGCTCTCTGCTTCTATATCCCCTCCCCCAAAAG